AGGTAATATGTATAACAGTCTAAAAAGCAGTGGAGCTTCGATATATTTACATTATATTATAAAATTTCTTTTGAAATATATTAATTTTCATAATTTGTTAAATGCTTTCAACTTTTTACATAACAAAAATGTATTACTTATTTGCAACACAATTGAATGAAATGAAATAAAAAGAGTAAATATGTACATATACATATGTACAATAGTACATACAAGTATATAACATTAAAGAATTACAAAATTGTTGAACAAACTGCAAATGTTGAAATCCACACAAACCGACATGCAGTGCAAGAATACACGGATCTGTTTCAAATTACACAAGCAAAAAGAAATATTTAGTTTTATTAAAAATATGAAAAAACCTAAAAAACATAAAAAATTTAAAAAAAAAACATTTAAAACAAATGAAACAAATATTAAAATAAAAATGGCTTAAAACACGCTTTTGAATACTTTAAATTGAAAATAAAATAATAACAACAAACCAGAAAAATGAAAAATGTCATTAAATACATATTACTATATATGTGTATAAAAAACTAAAAAAATTGTTAATGTAAAAAAACATAATAGATACTAAAATCTATACACAAATTTGTATGTGCAAATATGCGATTATATACTATACTTATGTTATTGTAAAAAAAGTGAAAATTTGCGGTTATTAAAATGTGAAGAAATTATAAAAAGTCAGTTGCGTACATGCATAAGTAAAAACCAAGCAAACACACATTTATACATATACATTTAAAAGTACATAACTACACACACATATACATACAACATACATATGTATGCGTAACCCAAAGAAAAATATACATGCATATACATATATTAATTCTAATGTAAATGTAAAGTCATTGAAAAAACATTTTCGAAAAATAAAGAATGTATACCTACATATTATTCAAAAGTAACTGTTGTGCTTTTATACTTTTGCAGCATGTTTCCGCATAGTGTTCAGTTTTGTTCACCCAAAAACTAAGCGAGATAAAAATAGGGTTATGTATATATAAATGATCAGAATAACGATAAAAGTTGAAATCCGGGTGACTGTCTGTCTGCCCGTCCGCGCAAATTGTGACTTGAGTCAAAATCGAGATAGCTTGATGAAAATTGGGATACGCGTTCCTTGGCAAAAACAAAATTACGAATTCTGTAATGAGCGTAATCGGACCACTGCCATTAACCCAAAACCTATAAAGTGTCATAACTATGCAGTAAATTAAGATATAGAACTGTGATTTGGCACAGAGGATCGCAGAAAAAAAAGATACAAATGTGGGCAAAAAATTTTGAAGAACTGAGTGTGGCTTTGCCCTCTAATAAATCCTCTAAATTCTTACGGAGCAAATATTAGAAGTATAGGAACTCCTATCGGCGCTCACTCCCCATATAACGGTACTGTTAAAAACTACTAAAAGCGCAATAAATGAAAAACTAACTACGCCAGAGATACTACATTTTACGCTCGAGATGGTATGATTGGGCTTTGCGGGAGCCGAGGGAAAAATTTAATGATGGGCGCGGCAAAATCAACTATATCGGAACCCGACCGACTAATTTCGACTACATTTGGTACGTGATATTTTTCTCACATTCTTATGTCACATTGTGAAAATGAGCTAAATCGGACAATTACAACGCGTACTTCTCAGTCTCTTCTCACAATTTTGAATTCCAAAAGTTTCTTTCGCTTTCCACAAGAAGCCATTGATAAAACGGGATACAACTTTATACTAATAATTCCTTTGACCAAAAATAGCTCAAATCCAACCAAAACTGTTCAAGCCTTCAAATAGCGTAAATGCGGACCCCAGTAGCTATAGTTGACATTGGACCGCAAATATCGGTAAATGTATGGGAAAGACAATTAAAATTCAGAGAAATCTTTTCCCAGCTGTTACTGGCAAAAATAAATAAAATCGGATCCCGTCGCAATTTTTGAATATCACTGGCGTTTATTCTTGCAAGTTGCAAGTGTATAATACTGTGGTCAATTTGAAAGGTGAATTTTTAATTTATACTTCGCGTGTTTTTCGAATCTAAAATTTCTTTTTCTGCAAGTTGGTGGTATTATTAGTGGCATCTATGCTAAAAGGCATAAGGCTCTGAAAGTGAATTCAAGATTTTTCTGTGTCTGAATTGGTTATTCATTATGATCATTTCGCCACGTTTTTGATGCAGAAATTTCGACATCTTCTTCTTTGTCGGCGTAGACACCGCTTATGACGTTTTTGGCCGAGTTAGCAACAGCGCTCCAGTCATTTCTTCTTTTCGCTATTTAGTGCAAATTCGAGATGCCAAGTGCACTCAGCTCCGTTTCCTGATATCTCCAACGGAGTGGAGTGCTTCCCCCGGCTGGTGAGGATATGACCTAACCAACGCAGCCGCTGTCTTTTAATTCACTGAACTATGTCAATGTCGTCGTATGACCCGTACTGCTCATCGTTCCATCGAATGCGACATTCGCCGTTGCCAAAGTGCAAGTAACCATAAATCTTCCGAAGAATTTTTCTCTCCAAAACTCGTTACGTCGACTCACTAGATGTTGTCGTCGTGCCTGCCTCTGCACCATATAGTAGGACGGGAAAATAGAGTTTGGTTTTTGTTCGTCGAGAGAGCACTTTACTTCTCAATGATAATAAGGAGGCTCTCCCATGGCAGTTGGCTACAAAGAAGCTGATACATGCTCCTTATCAGTATTTGAATAGCTCGGCCTGCAATAAATCGGCTCCGGTCGCTTTGTTGTTCTTCAAAAGGCTAATTTCTATTCGGTCTTCTATATAGGCGAACATTGGAACGTCCGCACCGGCGTCATCGATTGTGGAATCGAGTTCTCCATCTTATGGTGTTAAACTTTCACTGCTTTTCAGCAGGCTAGAGAAGTGTTCCATAAGTCCATAACATCAGTAAGGTCCGGGCATCAGTCACTGAGAGCTCTACAAAAATATGCTCCAGTCTTGAAACCCTCTTTTCGCAGAATTTTCGAGCAATACTCTTGTAGGCCAGCTTGTCAAGCTCTTTTCTGTCTGCAAATTCGTCTCGCTTCCATGTGTAGAAGTTCACGCAAGTGAAAAAAGTTCTCTGAGCGCCATTCACTTGGGAGTGATCAGAAACGATTCTTTTACATATGGCTCAAACTCCTCACGACTTCAGGACTTAGACTAAGTATCGTCTGGGGAGCCAAAAACATCCATTTGAAGGCAAGCTAAAGTGAGAAGGCATATCATCCCCCCTAGGGTTATACGCCGGGCCTAGGACCCGCCTCATTAAAAAAAGCACTTCACGTAAAAGACAGCCTCGGTTTCTGTTATAGTTATTATAAAACTACCTTTAAAATGGCAAGGAGTTATCGAATAAAACGACACATATTTGACCTAAAATCGAATCATTTAACTATACTAAGTAAAACTTAAATTGAATGCAAAAATAATGCAGTAAATATTTAGTAGATCTAATTTTTATATGTGTTCATATACTACAATAAAACCAGAGATCGCTGGCCAAACCGTTGACAAATTTAAAATTGGAAATAAAACAATGCGGTTCGGCTTGCGATAACGCAGAAAAGAAAAACCAAAAAAACAACAGCGAGGGGACAAATGCGCTGATTGGTCGATCGTTCCGTAAAACGCGCGGATTAACATATGTACATAACAAACATGTGGGCTTGCATATAATTGCAATCAGAAATAAGTGAATATTTTCACTAGAAAGCTTTATGAAATTATTTTTGTTTTTATCATAGCTTTCATTAAATTCATATCTTCCGTTTTGCCAAGTAGAACATATTTATAGTATAATGAATTTACCGTAATACCCTCTCGTACATATCTACTTCGTGTAAGCGTCCACGAATAGTGGACAGTTTTCCTTCCGCCACCAATAGAGCCGTAATTTTCGATTCGAAATGAGCCCAATTCGACTTAGAAATATTTATAATCCTGGAATCAATACATTTGACGTAATTTTAGGCCTTCCTGTGGACAACTTTCGAGCAATTCGATTCTCATTCCTGAATATTTTTATAATCTTGTGTATTGCTGAAGAAGATTTGCTGAAACCTTTTGCTATTGAGCGTTTAGTTCCAAATATTTATGCAAACCCACAATTGCAGTGCGTTCCGTCGTACTAAAACGTTGTAATTTTCCCATATTTATTAAGTGAAATCAAATATTTGCGAAAACAGGACAATGTTATAAAAAATTTACGTAATAATTACTATTTTACGTAAGAGAAAATAGTTGTATATCTTCAGCAGACCGTATTCTGGTTAGTACTTAATATCACGAACAAATAAAAAAATACTTAATTTCGAAGGATTTCTTTTGATAATATTTCAAATGCCCAGACAAACACATATTTTTCTAGTTTTAAATTCTTTTAATTTGAATAATAAATTATTTATGTATACATTTTTATTTTAGCATTATTTTAGCAAATAAATTTGGTTGCATTTTTTACACATTTGTTACATAACTATTTTGCTTTTCACAGGCTCTTATTGGTTTTATTTATGTTACGTATGTATGCATGTGTAACAGCATACTAAATTATATATAATACAAGGTAACTAAGTTTAGTAGTCGAATTGTTTTATGCAAGTAGAAATATTTCTATATATATTTACATATATATATTTATGTGTTTAATGAATATTAATGATAAAAAAAAAAAAATATTTTTAGTATATAACAAAAAAGTCAGCATTACCTGACTCAATTTTATAAAGGTTTAGCATATACTAGTTCCATTTGCACACACACACACTCGCAAACGAACAAATATTTATGCGTGCTCAATTAGTACATATGTATGTATGTATGTATGTATGTATGTTATTTATATTTAATTATTCATTTAGCTTATTGCATTACGCCTTGTTGTTGTTGCTAGTATTTGCTTGCCAGCAGCTATTTGACTTTTGCTTGCATGCCATTGTGCACGTACACATTAATAGTGTATGCGTGTTTGTGTGATTGCAATCATTTTCATCATCATTTTGAAATACTACTGAAGAAATTAGGCTTTTACTAAGCGAATATGCCTATTGTTATTATCAGCACAAAATTATTTGCATAACTAATTAGCATAATCAGTTATATTCACCAGTTATATATACCATTTATATATATGTTCACAGCAATACATATGTAGAAAGAGCACAATATACGCACATAAATATATATTAGGGTGTCTATTATTTCTCAAGTTAATTTTTTTTTCTGTTTTTGCAGGCTCCTATTACGGTTTTCATTTGAACCCAACTACATTTGATTGACGTTTTGAAATTCGGTATTAAACTAGATAAAACAAGCCACAAATTGGAAACATTAAAATAAAATTAAGGGAAGTGTTTTAAAGATAAAGCTTCGATGTAATCTACTACTCTTAGGACTACATTTTTTGAGTCAAATTAACTTTTTAAGTGTTTTTTTAATTTTCTTCATTGATGTTTTATACATAACGCATAAATATAGAGTTTATAATATTTAAAAGCAGGTTTGGCTACAGCCATAGATGTCGCAAGTTGATTTGACTAAAATCATTTAAACTGCATTCTTTATATCTACCGGTAATCAAAACTAATGCCCGTTTTACTAATTATTCACCATTTCGTGAGCAATAACTAAATTAAATTATTTTTTTTTTAATATTTTCAGTTGTTTAATTATCTGTAAAATCTTTATTTTTTAGGTTGGCAACACCAAGCAAACTTCAACTGAAAATAGTTAAATATCAATATCTCAAAAAAAGAGTTGGGTTAATCTGAACTCAATTCAACCGAGTGGAGTTGAAATCCGTAATATGGGAGAAAGTTCTTAATTAACAATTTAAATTGAATCGAAAAAGTGATATTCCAATTTCAAATCTTCTAATCTCCAAAATAGCAGCTACATAATCTTTTTCATAACAACATTCCTTTGAAAGCTTTATGCAAACTTATACATCAAACGACCTGAGCGTTCATACAAGTGAGTTACACATACAGTATTGCTCATACGACATGGTGTACTATATGAATAAAAATTTAGGAAGCATTTGCAAACAACAAATCGAATAATGGACACCCTAATATTTGTACATATGTATATAAAAGTATATGTATGCATACAACTGCATTTTGTGTAGAAAATTCACAAACGCCTAATACTTACACTAATTTACATGTGTTTACATACAGATATACTGCTGGTCAATACATTTTTTACAAACACTAATTGTTAACAGACAGCTCTACACTAGCATTTAGTTAGCGGCTTTACAGCGTTTTACACCACTCGAATGCATTCTCAAATTGTTTCATTCTTTTATCACATTTCAGGCGTAGGCGCAGATGTTTGCTTGCATTACATACATACATATATATGAATATTCGTACATATTTGTATACATATAATATATAGTAGACGTATGTAATACAAATATTTCATTCAGCTTTCTTTTTACCTAAGCTATGAAGCCAAAGTGCTTACTTCTAGTGAATTACATATATATTTACATTACATTCGTTTATGTAATACTTCCAGCGTACATACAAATGTCTTAGTTCTGGATAATATTTTTTGCATTTCCAATTTGTTGTTGTTCTTTTCCTATGCTCCTACGCATTTATAGCATTTCCGCACAGAATTAAAATAAAATCGTTGCTTGCCTTCAGCCAACGCTTAAGTGATCGGCCAACAAACAAAAAATCGAAAAAATTACAAAAACTTATAAAACCAAAACAAAAAACACAAACACAAGAAACACGCGCGCTACAGCACGCAGACCAGCTTTTTCTCTTTACAACAACAACAACAATAGCTGGTTGCGGTGTTACGTGCAAATTTCACTCGAATTCGCAAGCACCGCACTGTTACTGTTCGTGTGGTGGTGCTCGCCCATATTCGCCGTCGCGTTGTTTATACTCGCGCATTTACTGTTGTTTATGGTCGCAGTCGAATTCGCAACCATTTTGGTATTTGCGGGTGTTGGCATTGTTGGCGTGGTTGTTGCTGTTGCCGTTGTTGCTGGTGCTGCTGCTGTTGTTGCTATTGTCGCCGCCGACGCATTGCTGGTGTTCAATTGCGGATTTGTATGCGTTGTGCTCGAGTTGTCGTGCATATTCGTAGGCGCCGACGCCGACGCCCTCGCTGTTGTATTTGTTGTTGATTTGGCATTATTTTTGTTGTTTTTAATGCGATTCAGCGCCGCTTCGCGTTCGTTCGCGTCGAAATACCACACAGTGATGGCGTAGCGGGTACGATGTGAGGGTTGTACTTCGTGGGGATTCCGCCTATCGGACCAGAAAAAGATCAGACGATCGAATTTCGGCTCGATGTCAGCAACTGAATTACCGTGCTCTGGGAAAATTCTGCAAACATAACGAAATATGGAGTCATTGTATTATTATGAAAAATATTTGTAGATATTTGTTTATGGTTCAAAATAACGACAAAAATTGGCTACAGTATAAACTCGGTGACCGCAACCCTCGATTCGCGCAACACTATAAAACATAGCATTGTAACTTTTATAAGTGCAACTACTCAAAATATTGGCCTGAATGACTGCAACTTTACATCTAAATATGTTTTGTTTCAGTTTTTAGTTGTCGTTTTCTTCTTATTGCATTTTTTTGTTATGTATTCACAAACTGATCGTTATTTTACCGTTGCTCTGTCGTTGCTGTTTTTGTGTGTATGTTAAGAGCAGAAGAGCAATTGTCAACAAATGACTTTCATTATCAGTTTATTTTGGCACACGCCAGTAGAGTTTTATGTGTAAAAGTCATGGTGGTCACAAAAACATTAATAAAACTAACAATTAAAGAAAAAAACTGAAATTTTGGATAAACTAGAGAGTGGTGCATCGACAAAAGCTCTTTGTATTTATTGTAAAGTTCAGAAGTCGACAATGAGGAGAATAAAGAAGAAAAAAGCTTGAATACTTAAATATGCCACAAATATGGAAGCTGGGCCAGGAAAACGCCAAACATTAAAATCTTGTGAATACCCAAGAATGGAAAAGGCTCTCTACAAATGGTTTTTGAAACAAAAGATTGAAAATGTGCCAATATCCATTGGAATAAGCAAAAGCTCTCAAGCCCCATGAGAAAATAAAAGAAAAGACAGGATATTTTCATGCAAGTAAAGGTTGGGTATCCAATTTAAAAAAGCGATATGGTCTCCGCCACTTGAAAAATTGTGAAGAGAAGCTTTCTAATAAGACAGCGTCCGTCGACCCATTTGTAATACATTTTAGAAATAAAACCAAGGAGGAGGAGTTCCTAACAAGAACTGGTGGATGACTTATTTGTTTTTCGAAGACTGGTTTCATCATACGTTTGTCCCTGAGGTGAGAAATACAATATGTATTGATTTTATTTTTTAATTAATTTTTTTTTTTGGATTTTTTTAGGTACACGAATTTCTAGAACCCAAGGGACTTCTTAAAAAAAGCCCTATTGGTCTTGAATAACGCCTGATGTCATCCTAAAGACAATGAGATTAAAAGTGATGACGGAATGATAACCGTTATGTGTCTTTCACCTAACCCTACCGCGCTTCTCCAACCAATGGAGCAAAACGTTATTAACTTAACAAAAGTCTATTACAAAAAAACTCTTTTGGCGCATTTAATAGGGAATAAAACCACTCACCTGAAAGAAAAAGTAAAGGAATTCAACTTAATACATGCTATCTGTCTTCTTTCAAGTTCATGGGAAAAGTGTCAGCAAGTTAGATTCGCAAGTGCTGGAATATGTTAATGAAACCAGATGTTGAGTGGAGTGAAGAGGACGATATTCCTCTCAGAATTCTAAAAAGAGAAATTGAAAATAAACGCGCAATCCTTGCATCAATTCTGCAAGAACTTGCACCAAATGATTCGTTCACAAATGAATGGATGCACGAAAGTGTTGCTTATCAAGAAGTGGATAAAGAAGCCGTAGAAATTGAAAATTCTGATGATAGCGAAGCGGATGTTACTCCACTTCCTAAAATAAAAGGATCAGTTGCTATGCAATCTTTTAACATATGCATTCCGTGGGCTGAGGAAAACGATATTCCAATAAAAGACATTATATTTCTGAAGGAGCTTCGAGAAAGGGCTATAATAAAAATCCTTAATAAGAAGAAAGTTTAGACAACAATACCCGATTTGTTTAAAAATTAAATTTTTAATAAAAAAATAACCTTTATATATCATAAAACGATTTTCATTTGTCATATTCCTTGTTATATATTTTTCCTCTCTGGGTGCAACGACCTCAATAAGTGCAACCACCTAGATTTCTATTAGTTGCGATTACCGAGTTCATACTGTAGTTAGTTTTTGATATTTTCAATAAAATAAACTAAAAACTGATTAACTGCAATGAAATATAATGAGCAATTAAAAAATTGCGTGAGACAAATATTACCTAATCTAAAATAAAAATAAGTGATAAAATAAAAAGGAAAACAAACAACTAAAGACAATAATATAAAATAAAAATTAAAGAAAATATTTGTTTTT